TGTGTGTGTGTGTGTGTGTGTGTGTGTGTGTGTGTGTGTGTGTAGTTTTGACTGAAGTTCTAAATTTTTCATTGTCAGGTTTATGATCACAAGATTTACCGATATTTTGATAACCCTCTTGAATTTTTGGCCTCAATTAAAGATGAAGAGTATCTAGTTGCCTTTCGCCTTCCAAAAAGGGAATCTGGAAGACCAAAGCTAGAGATCATTCACAGATCGGTGGAAAAGTATGCTTCCTTGTAATATTCTATTTATGTAGTTGTCTGATATGAAGCATGAATTTTAGCAAACTTTTAAGCCCACTTTGCTGCCTGACAATTTGTCGTTCTGGACTCTGTAATTAAGTTCATGTTTTGCTTGCTCCTTTTTGCTGTACACGGCTGTCTGAGTAATTTCTCTATCTCTTTTATTGGATTTTTGTAAATGATGAGAAATAAAAAGTATTCATCGATGGAGACAAACTTAATGCCTTGGGTAGAGGGAAGATTAAACCCACCATCACCAATGATTGCCTTTGGAGAACCAACCTCCAGATGAGTTTGATCAAAGAGTTTATCTAGTTGCAAAAGATCTTCTATAGATTGCTTCAGTTGGAACACTGCTCTAATTGAAGGTTAAAATACCGTTCCTTGGAAATGAAATCACGCTGAATAAGTGGCTAAAAGTCTCCTCATACTCGATAGTGTGACAGCAAACTTTGAAGCTTCCACATACCAAGAGAATGTTACTTGCAAATCGTGATCTTTGTGGTCCATTCAATATTTTGGTATTTCAAACAAGAAAGTGATTTTTTTTCTATATTGATTCTCGTGTGTTCAATTCTGGTTCTTATATGGTAGAAAATACATTGGTACTTGTCAGTTAGATATAGTCACTCTGTACTAATATTTATCTTCTTTTTGCTTGAATATTATTAATGTGGCATTTGGTATGTAGATACTCAACAGACCATTCGAAGGGCTTGGAGAGAAAGCTTTTCGGAACTCCTTTAGTCACATATTTGGGAGAAGAGTTCCATAGTGGAGCTGACATAAATGCAGCTGTGTCTAAGATCCTCTTTCCCTTGAGAAGAACATACTCTTCAACTGTATCTCATAGTAGCAAAGAAAATGACTTTGTTTTTGAAATTAATGATGAACCAGCCAACTGCAGTCCTCGGTCTGGTTCTAGGAGCCAGTCAATGGACAATGAAGTAAAGGAGACATCTGAAAAAGAGTTATTCTTTCAACTTCTTTTAACCGATGCTAGCGGTGTGAGCTGCAAGCCAATTGGTAAGGATTCTGCTATAAAACATGGTCCACTTATAAAGGTTTTCTTGGATTGGACCGACAGAGAACGTAAACTATATGACGTGGGCTACATCGAGGATTTTCCTCCTGTTCACCAGACAAGGTTCATGAAGAAAACACGGCAGGAAGCAACCTCTTTATTTTCATGCTTGGAAGCATTCCTGACTGAAGAACCTTTAGGTCCTGATGATATGTGGTAATATGATGTTCCCTCATATCCAAAATTTGTAGTGGCTCTAACTATATTCTAGTTTGTCTCATTCTCCATCTTAGATTTCCACTTTTTGCAGGTACTGCCCTGTGTGCAAAGAACATGGACAGGCTACAAAGAAGTTAGACTTGTGGAAGTTGCCAGAGATTATTGTGTTTCACTTGAAACGTTTTTCATACCGCAGATACCTTAAAAGAAAACTCGATACCTTTGTTGATTTCCCTATTCACAATCTTGACTTGAGCAAATATGTGAAGAGCAATGATGGAAAATCTTACTTATACAACCTATATGCCATTAGCAACCATAATGGTGGTCTTGGCAGAGGGCACTACACTGCATATTCAAAGGTACAGGACTTAATTTTTCTTCTTTCTACGTACCCCTGAGCAATAATTGTGTTCTTGGTCTTATTAATTTAAATTATCTTTTTGTGTGACGGCTGTTTTTCATATATCCAGTTAATCGATGAGAAGAGGTGGTACCACTTCGATGACAGTCACGTTTCCCCGGTCGATGAAGAAGAGATCAAGACATCGGCTGCTTATTTGCTGTTCTATCAAAGAGTTGAAAAATGAATTGGAAAAAAGCATCACAAGCCCTCCACCAGAAATGGATATTATGACTCTGGATTGTGCTGTTTCAGCTGCGTTCCGGCTGCTACAAGGAAGCTTAACTTTTCATGGTTCAAGCATTAATGAAGGCCAATCAAAGGGAGAAATAGAATAGTTCAAACGAGGAATTCTACAGTTTGGAGGTACATAAAAGCGTCCTACAGTTTAGAGGTACATAAAAGCGTATATTCATCAATTCTTTGAGATAAATTTTGTTGTGTGATTAGGTAGGTCGTGTAGATTTGGAGCAAATCTGCCTCTAGAGGCAAAGTGGTGGCTGCCATTCATTTGTTGTTAGCTGTTACCATGGTGGCTGCTGACCATTTACTGTTGTTACTGATTAACTCAAGGAAATTTTTAGTGTAATGCAAAACTTAGGCCAACCCTTTCCATTGTCATCATTTTAAATCACAATTGAAGCTCTCTCTGAACGTCAATATTCTAATAATAATAGACATTTCTTTGTAGACTATCTGTAAGATCATTCATTAAAACTTGATATAAATACAATGGTTTTGAGGAGCTCAATAAGATTTGAACTCATAATGAAAAATCTGATGGAAAATAAGAAATATGACTACCTATGCCTTCAAATTTTGCTAAGAAAATGTCATTCGTGTCCAAAACAAGTCAAGTTGATTAAAGGTGAAAATTGAGTCGCCTGAATCATAATCGAAAACTGTGGCTGTCTATATAATCATAATATGTGTGTGCTTATTTGGCCATTTCCAAATCCTAACTGTCACACTACACCGATTAGATACAAATACTTCCATATCAATTGGATCTTAAATTCCTATTTAGGGATGAAACTTTTGTATTCCCATTGGTATGCTGGTAAAGAAAAACTAAAAAAAATCAGTGAATCAATGAAAATCTCAAAAAATTCCAACTACAACCGACCATGAGGGGTAGTAGAGGAAATAGAAATGCATCAAAAAGAGAGATTAAAAGAATTCCATCCACCAGATTTTGGCCAACGACGAACCCAACTAAAAAATTATTAATAACTAAAAAAATAAAAACAGGATAAAAAAAGAGAGATGGAGATATAGATATTGACAGATCAGATCCAGCTGAGAATATCAAATAGAAATGCAAACAAAAATGGAAATGACAAAAATTATAAACACAACTTTTTCTTTTGTCACATGGCTCTGTCAGTTGTTTTGTTGTTCGACCCCACTTCATTGGGTAACTAGTGGTAGATTCAATAAACTTTCCAATCATATGGTTACTTTTACGTTGTGAAATGCTTGACAATATAAGAGGTAAGCAAAAAGATCAGACAAGAGCAAAAGTCAGAATATTGGCACTCAACCGAAAAGAAAAAATGAGTCGATATATATATATATTTTTTTTTTCTGTCCTTGTTCCAGATTATTGCCAAAGAGGATATGTCCTAAACGGCCTATAGGGGGGGGGGGGGGGGGGGGGNGGGGGGCAATGTTCACTTAAAAATTGAACAAGATTGAGTATTTGTCTCTCACTTAGTTATCTGTTTTATAACTTATAAGAAAAAAGGCTTCCATTCATAATTTCCACCTTTGTTTGCAGTAAAGCAGAAGCCGAATAACATATGTAATGGCCACATACAAAAGAATAGCAAAAAGAAAGGCAGAGACATACAAGGAAAGGAACAGAATATTTACCTTTTCCAAAATCCGACTCTGCCTCTTATTCTCTTTAGCATCTTCCAATTCTGATTCTGATAAATGAAATAAATCCAAAGCATCTTTAGGAAACATACACTGAAAATACAAATAATCTCCTAAATTCAAAGTAGCAACTTGAACAGCATCAGATACAGGCACACTGAGAAGAATCCCAGACAACGGCTTCTCTCCTGCCACCAAAGCATCACCACTGTTTATCAGTCTCCACTAACAGTCGTCGAGCAAACAGCGAAATTAATGATTTTATGTACCAGCAAGTTAATCAAATTTATCTAATCACTTAATTTGGTTTTCCACAGTGGCAGTGCATTGCATAGAGGAATCTTGCAAGAAAAGTTTTGAGCTTGAGGTCATTTCCTTACCAACTTGACTTGAAAGCTTGAGCTTCCAAAAGAAATTGGAATGTTCTTAACAAAAAGGAGCTAAAAAAAAGTAGAGAATATTACACATTTATCTTGTGCTGCCAAGGTAAAAAAATAAGCATAAAGACGAACTGTGTTCAGGACCACGTCAAAGGAAATGGGGATAGGCATATGGCTGCAACTTAAAATTTTAGAATGGCCTTAAGAGTTAATCAAATTTATCTAATCACTTAATTTGGTTTTCCACAGTGGCAGTGCATTGCATAGAGGAATCTTGCAAGAAAAGTTTTGAGCTTGAGGTCATTTCCTTACCAACTTGACTTGAAAGCTTGAGCTTCCAAAAGAAATTGGAATGTTCTTAACAAAAAGGAGCTAAAAAAAAGTAGAGAATATTACACATTTATCTTGTGCTGCCAAGGTAAAAAAATAAGCATAAAGACGAACTGTGTTCAGGACCACGTCAAAGGAAATGGGGATAGGCATATGGCTGCAACTTAAAATTTTAGAATGGCCTTAAAGTTAACTGATGAAGAATCCAATGAGTTGCAATTGGGCTGATGCATCCATGTGCTCCCACCAATGACCAATCACAAATATGGCCCCCACTCAACTCTTTACAATTCATACTCCCATTATGAAATATTTCCTATTAAATATAAATTTGATCCTCAATTTTGAAGTTTGTCTCTATATAATTTAGGAACTCTAAAAGCTACCATTAAAATTTATAGATCTAGATATAAAATTAAATTTTTAATTTTTTTTTTAAGGATCTATTATATATAAAATTGAAAGTTCAAATACTTATTAGACTCTTTTTGGAATGTCCCAAACTTCAAATAACTTTAGGGTAAAGGGTGCCAAAACCCTATTTACTAGGACGAGTTAAGAGAACGTAAATTATTGGGCTTAAGGTCGGTCTAAGTCACGAATGAGGTCACTTAGAGCAATTATGCAAACAGCACAGAGTGTAGACAGGTTGGTTGATTTAAATTTATCAGGCTCGTTGGACTTGTTAAACTAAAATTGAGAGAAAAATTGGGCCTGGGGCTAATGTTTTTAGTTTACCCTCTGATCTCTTTCTCTCTATCTCTTGCTCGACAACAGTCCCTCACGCTCAAATCTCCCTCTTGCTCGATTCCCTCTTTTCTAGTTGATGTTTGCCCTGGGTTGTCTCGGTTGGAGTCCCATCATTAAAGGAAAGATTATGGGTATAAATAAAGAAAGCCCTAGCTTAACCCTATGCTTGTTTCTAACTTTGTCACTTTATGAACCCAACGCAAATCAAGCAAAAAAGATAATAATAATCATTCAGAAAACAATGAAGGTAATGGTAAAAATTTACCTTGGCGGAAGAAATGGACAAATAACCAGTGGAGGTAGTGGGAAATCCCGGTGGCGTAGGTTGCACGTCGGAAGTTCCGGAAGTGCCGTGAGTCCCGTTTCCCACGGCGTCGTTAATGGAAAATCCGAGCTGATACACCGGCGTACCATCAGGCTTAAAAAGTCCATAATTCCTCTCCGAAGTTGGTCCAGGCTTCATATTCTCATTAAACAAAGCAAACACGTAAATATTGAGGTCCGAGCTCGGCCTCAATGGCGTCCCCTTCTTCTGACAGATGAACTTGAGTAGGTTCCCATTGTACTTCTTTGCATTCTCCGGAGTCGCACCGGCCTCATCTTCGTCTCCCTTCGACGGCCATCCGGTCTCCGAGATGTGAACAGGAAGCTTCTTGTAACCAACAGCGGCGAGCGCATAGTAAACCGCGTCGATCTGTGCGAACAGCATGTTTTCGTAGTGAAGATTCGAGCCAGGATCTAAAATCCCTTGGTTCGGTTGGAAGAGGACGAAATCAAGCGAAACCTGCTTCGGATTCGCCTTGTAAGCGAAGTAAGGATACGCATTGATCAAGAACGGGGAGCCGATCTTGACATGGAAGTCCAAGATTGGGACCAAACAATCAACTAAATCCCTACGGAAGACTCCGGAGGAAGGCGGATACGAAGTTTCAAGTATAGCCAAAGAATGCGCCGTTGTGACGGCCACCTGCTTATCTAGCCCTAGATTCACGAGCGCCGTGTGCACGCTCTGCATCGCCGGTAGTAAATTAGCACTGAGTGAAGTGTCATTGAAGGTTAATACCTCATTACCGACGAAGATTGAAGTGATTTTAGTGCCAGGCAAGTAGGCTTGAACATTATTCTTCACCCACTCTTGAGCACAAGCTGGATTCTTCATTTTGGCCAAGTACTCATTTCCAAGTCCGACTATGAACTCCACGCTCGTGTTAGAAAATGCGCGAAGAACCTTCGGACTCGCATCGTACAGCTTCACCTTCGTAGCTCCAATCGCTTTCACCAACGGAATTACATTCTCCGGAGCAGGAAGATTGTTCGCAATCTGACCGTAGTTCACTCCAATTGAACTCACCATAACAGGCAGTAACAACAAACCTTCACAAAACAACAAGTGCAAGATACTCTCAACTGAACAACACTCCACAATTTCACAAAAATCCACATCTTAAACTAACAAAAAAAAAGCACAAGTTCATGAAATTCCAGATCACCTGAAACCAGAAGTAGAACGAACGAACCGCATTGCTCGAATCCGAACCTTCTCAGCTCCATGGAGCTTGAAACTTCAGTAGCCTAAAAGTGGAATTCAAAGTCCGAAAATGCGAGTCACTGCACTGAAGAGTGAGAATGAGGAGCGATCTGGAGGCAGAACAGAAACGCTGTCGTCGGAGTCGGTTGCCGGAGAAGGCGACGGTGAACTGTCGGCCGGTGTCTGGTAGGAGAGTGGACAGAGAGTTGAGTGTGCGGCGGAAGTAAGGTGAAGAGCCGTGCGGGTTGTTGTCATTTGTAGAACATTGATTAAAAAAAAAAACAAAAAAGGGGAAAAAGGAAAAGAACAAAAAGTGTTACCTGTTCGTTTAAACATTTTGTAATAAACTTCACAATTTAGTATAATTCGTTTTTATGAGTTTTATGTATTAATTTTCATCAACTAACACCTAAAGTAATCATTTATTAAAATATGATTAATCCAACGTCATGACATATTTTCTTCCTATCTTCTAATTTAGGAAATTCAAAATGTTTGAATCTCATTAAATAATGCAACTTCAATATGTATCCAAATTAACAATTAATTCATTTATTTCTTTCAATTTTGTATTAAAAAAAAAATCAAATACATCTCTAACTCTTAATTAACCTATTCAACAATTATTTAATTAATAAATCTATTTAATATAAAATTTAAATTTAATAGAATATTAAACTTTCTTTTTATATCTAATAGGTTAAATATATGAACGACCTATTAAATACAAAAATCAATAGAAGTAGATGAAG